GTAGTGTAGTACAAGGTGATGTGAACTGAGGGCATATTTTGGATATGTTTATTTTACTTTTATTTACTTTTGCTTTTGAGGCGACTGACGCCTTTTTGTTCCCCAGTATGTATAACTTTAAGATTATTTGCATTTATAGCTAAGTGAGTAGTGTTTTTATGCCTCAAAAATTCCTTAGTTAAGTTTACTTCCTACAGAAGAAAACCGATTAACATCTTCCAAGAAGAAAAAAAATAAAATTTATTTCAAAAGAAGAAAAAAAAATTAACTTCGGCGAAACTGAAGCTAAAATACTCTTCACAAATGCAGTTTTTTTTAGCAAAAAAGTGTATACAAATATTTTTATTCTTACTTTGATCAGACACTTTGAATGGGAGCTTAAAGCTGTAGTGGTACGATCTCCATATATATATATATATATATGTACATCCGCAAATATAAATATAGTAGCAAAGTCTTGGATAATAAGCTGTGCAAAATTTTGGGGATATATCTACTAAAAGAGTTTCCTATACAAGAACTTAATTTTCATCGGTCGGTTTGTATGGCAGCTATATGCTATAGTAGTCCGATCTGAACATTTTCTTCAAATATGGTATGTTTTCCTCCAAAAACAACTCCTGTCAAATTTCGTTAAGATATCTCGTAAATTAAAAAAGTTTTCCATATAAACATTTGAGATGGGTCGGTCAGTTTGCATGGCAGCTATATGCTATAGTAGTCAAATATAAACGATTTCGTCGATATTGCACCGATGTTTTGGAAAATAATTTGTGACAAATTTCTTAAAGACATCTCGTCAAATAAAGAAGATTTTCATATAAGCACTGGATTGCGATTATTCAATTTGTATGGCAGCTATACGCTATAGGGGTACAATCTGAACAATTCCTGGAGGCATAGTAGCGTTTTCTCAGTCAATAAAACCGTACGAAATTTCATCAAGATATCTCGATAAATAAAAAGGTTTTCCCTAGAAGCACTTGAGTCCAATCGGTATGTTTGTATGACAGCTATATGCTAAACTAGTTCGATATTAACAATTTCTTCGGAGATTGTACCAATGAATTGGTAAATAATTTTTGCCAGCCTTGGTGAAGATATCTCATAAATGAAGAAGCTTTTCATACAAGCACTTGATTCCGATGATTCAGTTTGTATGACAGCTTATGACATACTGATCCCATATATGTAGGTATTACCGGCAAGTGAGCACTTTCTTGCTGAAAAAAAGACGGTTGCAAAATCTCAGATCGATATCTCAAAAACCGAAAGGCTAGTTTGCGTATATACAGATGGACTGATAGGTGGACATGGCTAAATCGACTGATCATGCTGATCATTTATCCGTATACTTTATAGAGTGTTCCACGTTTCCTTTAAGGTTTTACAAACATCATGGCAATCTTAATAAACCCTGTTTAGGGTATAACTATAAATCACTGACTAATTTTTTTTAACTCAATCTACTTAAAAACGAGCTATATGCAGAATACACAGTTAAATGACTAACTAACATGCAAACGAAGTCCCTCAAAAGTATTTCATATATACAAGTAGTAAACTTTCGTCATTTCAAAGTAAATGAATATGAGGTATGCTTATAAAAGTAACATAACTGCTACACTCCCTCCTTTCAAATTTTTCATTTATGCCAGTTGCTTATTCGATTCGTCACTGCTCAAAAATTGGCGTATCAAAAGTCTTTCATCAACATACAAAAGACGAACAATACAAATATTATATACTTTCTAATGAGCTTATATGTTGATTGAAATGCTCAAACTGCAGCCAATACACATTTTGTATTTACAATTTTTAATATTTCTCAGAATTAAAATCAAACCGTTGCAAATAAAATAACATTCGTACATGCCTACATATAAGTAGATTACATATAAGTTAGATTGGAAATCTCTCAAATACAAATTTTTGCAGATTTATGAAAGCGCTTAAAACTTCCAAGATTTTTGTCTACTTTGCTGCCTATAATTGCATTTACTAAAATAAATTGAAAAAGAATTTTTAGCTTGTTAATGGGTTTCTCTAAATAAAATGTTTATTTATACGCTCAATGATTTTAGTTCGACGAGTAAGAAAATATTTTTAAATGGGAAACCGAAATTGCTAATCTGTTTAGAAATTTTTGACTTCAACAAAAGAAGGAGTTATACGACTTTTGTACTATTATTTCAATGAAGTGAGTATAAAAATTTTGAATTTGTTATTGTAATATTGATTAGACTCGTTCCTATATTGATCGCCGTATGCTTAAAGAAAAGCTCACATGCCACTGTGAGCAAAGCGGTAATGTGTAGCTTGTAATGCTATCAATGCTTTTTGAATTTTTGCCTCCATCTCCCCTGCTTGACTGGCATGGTCGCTTTACCTATTAGGAAATGTTTAATTAAATTATATTCTGCCCTGTAAAATTATTTTAGGTTCTTACTTTGACTAATTCCGGGCGAATGCTTTCCGTGGTAATAGACCTTCAAAATTCAGAGTTCTATTAGAATTGATCTAAGCGGCGCTAACAGTCCAGACATTATTAGAAATATTATCGCCATGTAGGTAATATTTATAAGATCTCTTAACAGTCTCCGGTATTTTATAATTTATATAGTTGGGAGCTTTTCTCAAATAATCGTTCATAAAACTGAATCATACCATAAACGATCATAAGCGAGTGGCTAAATAGACCGAAGTAAAAGAGATGCGACACTAGAATTCTCGGCATAATAACTCTTAATCCCCAAAAGAATCCTATAGCAGCAAAATGAAATAGATAATTGCCTCGTTTTGTAGAAAAAAAACCGACTGAATAGATAAATAAAGATTCAAAAGAAATATTGTTAATACTTAATATACCAATAAAGGTCCTAAGAAAGAATCCTCTGAATAATGCATCAAATGAGACGCTTATTTTGCATAGTTTTACTTTGGTTTTGCCACTTAGTACTTTTCGAAAAAAATATTATATATAATAAAGTACTACAGAAAGATGAAAGACATTTAATTTTTTTTTTTTTTCAACTTTTAAAACTCGAAAAAGTTGGTTGTTGGGAAGACTCTAAAATAATATCCAAACATTAATTATGGAGAGAGTATATTTTTTTCAAAATTATTTCTAACCCTACTTTTACAACACAGTCCTTACAATATCACTGATCGTGGCTTTTGTGCAACTGTAGCATATATTTAGGATGAAGGAGGAAAAGGCATATAATCTGGGTGATTGTTGAGTATAACAGTTGTACAAAAGAAAAATACTTTGAACACAATTTTAAAATTCTAAATTTATTCTTACCGATCCCCTCAAAGTACTGCATTTGGGCACAATACATTTATACCAACGTTTGTTCAAATCCTCGAAACAGTTGTTAAAGTCAATTTCCGGAATAGCCTTCAATGTAGCGATTCACGTTTAAAGGCTTTATACGGCTTCCCGGAGCGATCGTTTGAGCTTGCTGAGTAGTCAAAAGTCACACGGAGCTAACTCAAACTAAAATTTTGAAAAAAAAAACTAAAGAAGGATCAATATAGTAGGCGACGGTGCATTATATTGATTTAAAAACCAAGAGTTGTCGGCCCTTTGCGGCCTCTTATTACAAATAGTGTCGCGTACACAACACATAACACTCAAATAGTACTACTTGTTGACTGCTTGGCTGGTGGGAAGGCATCCGGAGTGCACCAAACCTTATTAATCGAAGAAAACTGTCAATATTAGCCTGATTTTTGACGCTTTGACGTGTTTTCATCAGCTTTGGCACAACTTTTTAGACAATATTCGGCCGTTTCATCGTCTATTTTAGGATCGTAAGCATTAATTCAAAACTCATTGCCAGTACTAATATGTTTCATGATATCCTGGTAATGGGAAAGCATTGTTTCACAGATGTTTTTCGAAAAAATTTTGCGATTTTGGAAACAATAGTGCTTTCGCTTTTCTTAGGCCAAAATGATCTTTCACATGGTTTTCACTAATCCTTCCGATATTCCCACGATGGCAGTAAGATATCTGACTTTTAATGGCCGATTCTCAAGCCATCAGTTGATATGGATGGCCGTCCTGGACGTGGTATGTCGTCAACTTGCTCGCGGCAAACAACTATCACGGAAGAGATTTTCCAACATTCTGAACGTTTCGGCACCCGAAATTTGATTCCATAAACAGAATTTTATGGAAATTCTTTTTTGAAAAATTTAACACATCGTTAAAATCGCCGAATGCAATTTATATACTTCAGCGTATACCAAACAATGATGCTTATTTGAATCTGTCATTTGGCACAGATATCACTGTAAGTCACATCAAGCTAGAAAAACAATATTTCCAAGAATGAATTTTCGCACGAAATTTTAATTAAAAAGTCTTGTTGTTTTTTACCCAGAGAGGTATAACCTATTAATTGGAATACTATTTGGGCTTAACCTGATTCATACGTTACCACTATTATTTTTTATTTCACCACAGCCCTCTTTTAGGATGAAAAAAAAAAAACAATTTCTTTACTTATCTATAGCTGATTCATTTGACAATTATTGCAGATTTGCAGGATTCATACACTGCTATCACCAAATGTTAAAAAGTATAGGAATAAATTTTATAACTGGTACCTTTTTTGTGCCAAATACATGATTTTGACATTATTCCTCCATTAGTAAAAATCAACATCGATATTTAACGAAGATGAGTGGTTCATTAAATACTCAATTTTATTTGTAGCATACTTCAAGGCACTTAAGCACTATAAACAACGTTGCGAACACTAACAATAACAATATATTATTGATCGAAGATATTATTATAAAAATCAAATATTTATTTCAACACGAAAAGTCTGTTTTAGATACTCATGCAGTGTTATTAAAAATAATATTTTATATTTATTGTACTCATTGAAAAACAAATACATCTAAAACTATATCAATATATAAAAATTTCTATATATGCATATTACAACTAATAGCACTTTATCACTTCACTCTATTTGCAGTATGGACTATACGAGCTTGGGTTGTTGTACGCTGGCTTTTGTGCTGTATCTGAATACCTTGAATGCCGGATTTGTTTACGATGACAGGTGAGTTGCCAACAAATTTTCATTTTCTGTCCTTAAAACCGATATCAACACACGCACACATACACTCCACATGAAATATATGTTTAATGGGCATAAATAGAATGGCTGTTATCTCTTTGCCGGCATGGAAATTTGTAGCTTAGGACTGTAAGCTGCGCAATTCAAAGCATAGCTTTTGTACCAGCCCCACTTTTTATATTTAAATTAATAACTTACTCATAGCAAAATTTGCAAAAACATAACCAAAAAGTGCAAACAAAATAGTGATTTACGACGTCCGAGCCACGCCAAAGCACTTTGTTTAAGCTCTCTTCTAACAACAATCACAACTGATTTGCTGCCTTTTGTTGTGCATTGAATTCCTATTTATTAATTCTAAGCGAATATAAATCTACAACAGCCGAGACAGCAAAAATAAAAGTGACAACCGCACGAGTAAGGCAGCACTAAGTGCGGGTGGAGAAGAATGTTTCATGCTCTCTCAATTCGAAGGTAATGAAAATGCTTGAAACTTTTTCAAGCGTCTATGAAGCGGGTTTTCAAAAATGTTACATAGGAATTTAATATCCAAGATTTAAGGAAAATGTAAAAAAAAAAACGATTTTTATACCCTGAACAGGGTATATTAAGTTTGTCACGAAGTTTGTAATACCCAGAAGGAAGAGTCGGAGACCCTATAAAGTATATATATAAATGATCAGTATGTCGAGCTGAGTCGATTTAGAAATGTCCGTCTGTCTGCCTGTCTGTCTGTATATATACGAACTAGTCCCTCAGTTTTTAAGATATCGTTTTGAAATTTTGCAAACGTCATTTTCTCTTCAAGAAGCTGCTCATTTGTCGGAACTGCCGATATCGGACCACTATATCATATAGCTGCCATACAAACTAAACGATCGGAATCAAGTTCTTGTATGGAAAACTTTTACATTTGACGATATATCTTCACAAAATTGGGTATGAGCTATTGTTTATAGAAATAATGTAATAGCAGAAGAAATTGTTCAGATCGGCTCACTATAGCATATAGCTGCCATACAAGCCGAACGATCAGAATCAAGGGCTTGTATGGAAAAGTTTCGCATTTGACGTCGTATCGTCACGAAATTTGGCATGGATTACTGCTTAAGGTAACAATATAATCTTCAAAAAAATTGTTCAGAACGGATTACTATAGCATATAGCTTTCATACAAACTGAACACATAGTTACTAACAGAAATTCACCTGGGAAGGGTATTTAGCTTCGGTGCAACCGGAGTTAACGTTTTTTCTTGTTTTTGAATAACCTGGTCACGTGACTATTCCATTTGATGAAAATATCCACTCTATCCACGGCCATGTTCCTAGGCATGACCCTAACTATAACAGTTCACTTATTAGAAGAAAGATTGAAGCCTCCGTTGATCGAAATATAGTTGTCTATAGTAGTAGATTTCAGTACAAGAAAATTTAGGAAGCTGCTTGGTTGTCACCGAATCGACGCTAGCTATCTATGTCAAGTTGTCTTGATGTATGAGAACAGTCCAGCTTTGAAAGTATTCGATTCAGTACACGTTGTTGAAAGTAGAAGAAAAGAAAAACCGCCGCGTCATTGGAGAGATCATGTTATCGGATCAAATTCAACTCCTCTCAGCCTTCGTGGACATTGCCGGTAGGTGTGTTGCTGCGAAGTGTGCTCCTAGGCTCAGGGAAGTTGGGTATATGATGGGCTCTGAGCACGGACACAGCAAGATTAACTCTTCCTTCAATTGAATTCTTGAAAGTCGGTTTTTCCGCTGCTCACATTTCGACGAGAGAGACAAGCGCAGTAAGCTTTTACACGGATGCGTTGGAGGGGGAGATTTCTTAGGGTACTCTTCATTAATCCTACTGCTGCTAAGTGCAGCCTCCTTTAACCTATAGCCGAGTAGCTATATTACACTGAAGGAGTCTATAACTTACTAACAATGGCTTTAATCTTCTTTCATCATCGGAAACTCTAGAGTCGATGAGTTTGGTATCGTGGGCAACTTTTTGAATATTTCGTCCGATTGGAAACTTGTCGGTTTTCTAAAATCTTATTGTGTTTCGGCGTTCTACTGTATCTTTCAACCTCCAGTGAGTTCGAAAAGCGCTGGTCAACAACCAGAAATTTTGCGACTGCGAAAACATTCTGAACTAAAGTGAACTGTAAAGTGTCTTCCCAACTACTGGCTCTTAGCAGAGTCAATCGCGACCCATCGACGATAACACTGATAACCCTCACCATCCCAACGGGGACTGATAATCATTACAACAACAACCCAACGGTGCGACTAAGCAATTTGTTAAGCGCTATATGCCCAAGTTTTATGGAGGAAGACGAGGTGGACTAGTCGTTTCACTTTCAATTTCTATTGCTTGACTTTTGGGATTAATAGTAATCGCCTCAAAACGCTACGTGATCACTTTGTGTCGAGTTTATGGTTAACACAAAAGACATACGAGTATATGTGTCTAAGTAAGATCCATTGCTTTTAGATCAGCCCTACGACCTATTCTAACCTACATTACCACAAAAGTCAAAGTTGTTAGTGTTACTTCTTAGAGAGTAATTTTTAGTAAGCAAGAATAACAGCGACATACGACTTTTTCCAATACCAACCTCTACATTTAGCAACCCCTCGCTCCCAACAAGTAATGCTTTTAACGAACTTTAATAAGTTATTTCAACTCTAACGTGGCTTATCACAATCTCAGGTGGTCGAATGCATGTACAGGCAGACATTTCGAAATAAAACCATCCCTTTACTACACACTTTTCTTCTCAGAGGCTTTTGATACACATAACTCCATAACTAACTCAATTTAATGTATTGCAAACAAAGCTATTAAACTATTTTGCAACATGTTGCAAGAGTATAAAAACACCCACACACATCCACGTACAAATACCAACAGAAGTAGGATAGTTCAAGTGGAGAATTCAGCATACAAACGAAAAAAAACGACAAGCCTGTGTAGTAAATTCATGAAGTACAATTGAGCAGCGCTTATCTCGATTTTATTAGCCAATACAAGTTGGCAAAGTAGCTGCAGGAAATGGCAAAACAACAACAACACACTCTGACCCATACACACAAGCATACTAACCCACTTCAGCAGGCCTGCCAGCCGAAGCGGCATAAACTAAATAACTGCAGTCCCAAATAGCCAGAGAGCGTACATCAACGAAAGTGTGGCCATGCGGCAGCGGGGCAATGTTTGTAGGAAGTATCTGTGGGCATGGATATGACCGTGGATGTGGACGTGGCTATTGTGGAAATGGAAAATGGAAATGGCAGCAAGCATAATATTTTGGCATGGCTTTTATACGTTTATGAAATTAAGGTCCACAAATGTTCAAATGCAACGCTCCCCTTCTAAGCACCGACGTGCATGTTATGACAGACGTCATTGAGAAGAGGACTAAGGAAACTAATATTTTATGCTCTCCTGTATGCACGCTCGAGTGCTGACCCTGACAGACAGTCAGCACGGTAATTTATAACTGCTTAAGACAGCAGTCCTGCAGATTTGAGATTTAGTAACAACACCTTTAAAGAAAACATTTTACAAACTGAAGTTCTGGTTATTTTAAGGTTGGACGTAAACAAAAATCTTCTCGAATATTGCTTGAAATAAGGTACTGCAATTATTATTCCTACAATGAGACTTTAACATATTGAGTGCCAAGCGTATTTGACAAAAATGTTCTCTGGGCTCTGGTTTTTGTTAGAAAGGGGTTATAAATATTTTATTTATATCTGAGCCATTCCCGATCTGCTTTTTTGTTTACTTTGGACCTAAAAATAAAAAAATCGCTGTCATACGAAAATGTGCGATATGGCACTCAATATGTTATACCCTGAACAGGTTATATTAAGTTAGACACGAAATTTGCAACAGCCAGCAGGAAGCGTCCACAGAAGTATATATATTCATAACTATATAAATGATCAGCCTAACGAGCTGAAACGACTTAGCCATGTTCTTCTGTCTCCGCTAAGTATAGTATACCATCAGATTATTCGCAGGAGATATCGTTCTGAAAACTTTTCACACGTTCTTTTCTCTCCAAGATAATGTTCATTGCGCTATAATATGCAAAAATAATGTTCATATCGGATTGCTATAGCATATCACTGCCGTTCAAATTAGCTGATCAAAATCAAAACCTTCATTAAATATATTTCTTTCTTTATTAAGTAACCATGATTCATGGTCCCAAGATAAATTAGCGTATTTACGTAACTGTAATTCTACTAGAAGGTGTTAAATATCAAATCTCAATGAACTAGAATGTAGAAGAACGTTTTCGGTTGGATGCGAGTAGTTGGCCAGCATAATCGATATTCAGAATTAGTTATCCTCATGCATATTGTTACTATTAAACCTTTCCTTGCAGCCGAATTGGTACTCTGCCTAGTTGCTGATAACTTTACAAAGAAACCTAAAGGCTGAGCATGCTGTAACATCCAGGTACATAGACCAAATGCTCAAAATTATGTACTCTTTTCTAACACAATACTAACCTGCCTAAAGGATGATGACTCCTCTTGGACCTATCAAGTGAACTCCATCTGGTATCGCAAAGGACCAAAACTAGTCTATGGGTGGCTTATTGGCCTACCAGATTTACCTAACCTATCGCAATACATAACAGGCGGTTTCTGAGAACTCGCTATATCCGATTTGAAAAATGTATTTTCCTGAAGCTAACAAAATTTAGCTGTTGTTGGTCTGAGAGCAAACAAATTGCTGTCAAGTTGACCTGGTAGAACCTGCATAACTTGGTGGGTAATTCATACTGAGGCAAAGAGCTCAGTGGATCTCTTACGATCGAACCGATGGTAGCTCAGAGATGAGCAAGCTCCCGCGAGGTTCATCCATTAAGTAGTAGAACCTTTCTTTGTCAGTTCATCAGTTTTACAGTTACCTGCGATTCCGCTGAGACTTGGCACCCATACTTGTATTTTCCCAAAATGACTTGATGCTTTT